TGCTTTGGGGTACATCTGCTCAAACTTCCGACCCTTCAAGCAGAAATGGTGTGGGATCTGGGCCAGACCCCTCTTGCAGTGACTCAAAGCCGCCCGCCGTACTGGAAGGACAGGGTGAATGGCCCTTAGCCTCTTCTCCCTTCTGAACTGATTCACGCCACCCCAGTGGTTTCAGTCCCGGGAGCCTTCATCTTTTCCTTATGACTCCTCCACTTTGCTCCTCACATACTCCCTCTGGTTTTCCTGCCCTACTCTCCAGTGGTGGGACACAAGGCTGGACCAAAGCCTCCAGGGTAAGTGACCCAAACTTCAAACCAGCAGAGGCCATGGCATGCCAGGGCTGTAGAGTGGAGACTTAACCACGGATGAGCCTTTTGCTTAACTTGCCCTCTACCCACCCGCTAATTCCCCTGCTCCCCATTCTCAGATGAAGGAGACCAGGGCCAAAGACCAATTGAATATAGAGAGGCAGGGGCCTCTTCCAGGACTGGGGCACTGCAAGGCATGAGGCAACCAACAGTAGTGATGAAAAACCACTGTGTCTCCATCCTGGTTGCCCCAGTTCCAGCAGGTGAGACAATAGGGTGGTGGCCACCCAAATAGATAAATGGAAGGAGGTGAACCTCCTCCTTTCACCCTGAGGTACCCCTAGAAACACTCATTCCTACTGAGAGTTCCAGGCTCTGGTAGGATTGCATGTGGGCATGGGGAAGAGCCCCTCGACTCCAAGCAGAGCCCCACAGGTGTGACACAGTGGCTCTAGGAGCTCAAATTCCAGGACTGCCAGAGTGGAAGCTCTGATAGGAGGAAAAGCCCTATCTAACCCCCTCCTGCTGCTCCCTCCAGCAACTTCCATGGGGAGGGAGGACTTGCATCCCCATAATCTCCATCACACAGTCAGCAGGTAAGGTAGGCCAGATATCCATGGCAACACTGTTTACAAGTGCATGTCAGTGGCAGACATCAGTCCTTGGGACCTTTGGCCTGATGGTTACCCACTGCCCACACCACTGCAGATTGCTTTCTGCCTGACAGATGACACTCAAACGCCGTAACTTGCTCTCTGGTGGCCTCTTGGATCTGGCCTGAGCCAGTATTTCCCATCAGCACCCTTTCTTTCCTCAGGCTTGTATCCTTGTCACCCCTGGGCGGCCTTTCAGAGATTTCATCCCAGTTGTGGCATGGCTGTGGACCTGCTATAGCTGTCTTGAAGCTGGTGGAAATCAGGCTAGTGGCAACAGGATTGGGAGTGGCTCTCCCAAATCCCTTGATATCAGGACATCTCTGTAGGGTCACTGTGTTGGGGGCAAGCCCAGGGGAATCAGCAGGTATGGGCAGACTGGAAACTCCCATCTGAGGTGGCTCTTCTGGGTTAGGGATGGCAAGCTTGAGACAATTGTGCTAGGGGATGGGACAGCCAAATGGTATTCAAGAGCCAGCACTAGACATTGCTTTTCTGTTCCTAGGTTTGGGGCAGGGGGCCCTGCTGAGTCTCTCAGCAGTGGACTTTCAGGTTACCATACTCCTGGGTTCCCCAAGCTCACCCTCACCAGCCACCTCTCTGTGTCCCTTCTCTCCTCAGAAAGAGCTCTGCCATCAAGGAAGGCAGCAGAGGGCGAGGCTCCATCCATGGACACTTCTCAGTACGACCCAAAGGCAACATCGAGGCTGCTCTCCTAAGCCACAGAGTGCCTGGGCACACCACCTTCCAAGAGGAGCCATGGTGTTTAGGAGGGGCAGCTCCCAGCTGAGGTCTGGCGCAGGAGGGGGCAGTGGTTGCACAGGCCCCCTAGGCACGCTCAGGGCTGCCCTGCTGCTTGTGAGCCTGCTGTGGGGGGTCCAGGGAACAGCCATTGCCAACCTCAGCACAGCTCTGGGTTATCCTGGGCCATTGCCAGGGGGCCGCTACTTGAGCATTGGGGATGGCTCTGTGGTGGAGTTTGAGTTCCCAGAGGATAGCGAGGGCGTCATCGTGATCTCGAGCCAGTACCCAGGCCAGAGCAATGGGCCAGGGCCTGGTCCTACACTGAGAGTTACCTCCTTGGACACAGAGGTGCTGACTATCAAGAATGTGAGTGCCATAACCTGGGGCAGTGGGGGTGGCTTCGTGGTAAGCATCCACTCAGGCCTGCCTGGGCTAGCCCCACTCCACATCCAACTAGTGGACCCCCATGAAACTCCACCCGTGCTAATCGAGGAGCGGAAAGATTTCCGCATCAAGGTCTCACCTGCCGAAGACACCACCACCACCGCTGGCACAGACCTGGTCCACTTCTCGGAGAACCCAATACTCTACTTGCTCCTACCTCTTATCTTTGTCAACAAGTGTTCATTTGGGTGCAAAGTAGAGCTTGAGGTTCTGAAGGGGCTCCTGCAGAGCCCCCAGCCCATGCTGCTGGGCCTGTTGGGCCAGTTTCTGGTCATGCCCTTCTATGCGTTCCTGATGGCCAAGGTCTTCATGCTGCCCAAGGCCCTGGCTCTGGGCCTCATCATCACCTGCTCATCACCTGGCGGTGGAGGAAGCTACCTCTTCAGCCTCCTCCTTGGAGGGGATGTCACCCTGGCCATCTCCATGACTTTCATCTCCACAGTGGCTGCCACTGGTTTCCTGCCACTGTCCTCAGCTGTCTATAGCCGTCTGCTCAGCATCCATGAAACACTCCATGTGCCCATCTCCAAGATCCTGGGAAGCCTGCTGTTCATCGCCATCCCCATCGTAGTAGGCGTGTTGATCAAGTCCAAGCTTCCCAAGTTCTCTCAGCTGCTGCTGCAGGTCATCAAGCCGTTCAGCTTTGTGTTGCTCCTGGGTGGCCTTTTCCTGGCCTACCGCATGGGGGTTTTCATCCTGGCAGGCGTCAGGCTGCCCATTGTGCTGGTGGGCCTCACCGTGCCCCTGGTTGGCCTCCTGGTGGGCTACTGCCTGGCCACATGCCTGAAGCTGCCAGTGGCCCAGCGACGGACAGTCAGCATTGAGGTAGGGGTGCAGAACAGCGTGCTGGCCTTGGCCATGCTGCAGCTGTCCCTCCGCCGTCTTCAAGCTGACTACGCCTCCCAGGCCCCCTTCATTGTGGCACTGAGCGGCACCTCGGAGATGCTGGCCTTGGTTATTGGGCACTTCATCTATAGCAGCCTGGGCCCAGTTCCCTGAGGCCCCTGGGTCAAGCTTTTGCCACCCCTAGCCCCCACCCTACACCCACTGTCCCCACAGTTCTTGTGTACCAAAGGCCTTTAGTTCTCATGCACTATGCACTCAGAAAAATTTCCAGGCTTATTTTTGTTACTGGTTTTTTATTCTCCAGCTTTCAGTGCCAAAGAGGCCATGCTGAGTTAGGTAGGTGGGCACTGCCCACAAAATATATTTCAATAAAAGAGAGAAGCAAGCTTGGGTCTCTTCCAATCTTTGCCCTTTAGGGCCTGAGGGTGGTGGTACAAGGGTGTTGACTGGGTAGGTGTGGGCCAGGGTGTAGGACTGGCTTGGGTAACACGGTGACCTCTACACAGACTCTCTCTCTCAGCCCTCCTTCTCCACGCATCCCCTCTCTGTGAGTGGTGGGCCTCTGTTCTAGAATGAGCTGTGGGAGGGTGAGAGCAGAGGTCTGGCTACCCTGCTTGCTCCCAAGCTCAGTTGGCTTCCCGCCGCCAAATTAGAAAGGAGAAGGGAGATGGCCTGTGGCCAGTGTGGCAAGCTTGCCAGGGCGGGGCCCTTTGTGGACTCCAGAGACGGACCGGGAGACTGCACGGACCAGCTTCACCAGCCCGCTGGGAACACAGGGCGGGTCAGGCCGTCAGCATGGGGGGGGGGCGAGGGGGCTCCCGGCCCTCCCTCCTCCCAACCCCTAGCTCTCAAATGAAGCGCACCTGGCCCAGCTCGGTCCTCCTCCCCGTCCTGGCGGGCCCCCCTACACAGTCGCCGCGGTGGACTTGTCACCCTGGGCGGTCCCCATGCTGGTACGAAACAGGACTCGGAGGGGACTCCTCCTCCAGGAGCTCCAAGGGCAGT